CGTTAATTTTAAGTGTATAAAAAAGCAATAAATTAATTGTAGAATTTACCTAATTATTAAAAATTTTGTTTTGAAAATAAGAAACTCTTAAGATATTATTACACATTACAATAGTATATACATATATATATATAATAAAAATGCAAAATATACTTTTTTATTACAAACAAGTCTGAAATAGTGTAATTAATCTTCGTCTTTTTAAATTAATTAAAATTACGCACACACAATCTAAAGGCTTATTTAATTATGTAACTTATGTGTTTCAAATGCATCGGAAACTAATGAAAAATAATTCTATCAACAAATTCACAAGTTTTATACATTTTCCATGTAAAGCATATGAAGTAACTTACATAATATACATGTATTACACTTTATTTTCCATTCCTTTTATGATTAATAACTGTACAAAAAGTAATACTGAATTTTCTTATGGCTTAAAATTTGCTGTTAAGTCGCTGATTAGATGTAAAAAAAATTTATCGCTCCTACATTTGTTTATACAGCACTCTAAATGTTAATCAATGAAATACTCACTGATTACATACTCAAAAACCAGCCACCAAATTTTCAGTAACAATTTCACAGTTATTCAATGACTTATTATTAATTGCCAGTAGAATTTCACTGACAATCAGCGAAGTTATTTTATCAAAAGTGTATGAAACAGATTGACTGATTTATTTAATAAATCAAATGACTAGTAAGCAGAGAAATGACACTAAAAATTAATTAATATTCACTTATAACCTATCATATTTAACTGATCAAAATAAAGAAAACCTGTCTCCAAAAATGACTATCAGTCATTTTTCACTATTTGTCAATTGTATTTCACTAATCCAAATTTAAAGTGTGAGATTTTTAAAACAAAAAAAAAGATTTAAAGTATTTGAAATGGAAAATGAGCAAAGGAATTAAATTTTTAATGAGAATTATTATGATTTCAAAGCCACAAGTATTTAAAATTTTTACCAAATGGATTACAACGAGATTTATGTGTAACAAAACAATCAAATCAATGTCCTTCTCTTTGAATAAAAATAAAATTTTTCTCTTCATTCATCTTATTTGATTTATTTTCTAGTTTTTACTGGTAGTAATAATTTTTTAAAGGAATAATGGTTAAAAAATTGGTTCTATGCATTTTTTTCAATTTATTGTTTTTTTTACAAAATGAACTATATAGTTTTGTTATGGCAAAAGAACAGAAAATTCCTATCAAGAGAAATTACAAAATCAGGAAGAGAAGCAGGCGCAAAGCGCCTACATCTACGGTTTCATGGCTTTTTAAATTCAGGTCAAAAGTTATTTGTATATAATTAATAATTTAGAATTACATTATTTGTGAATTGCTGTGGTAATGGTTGCTATAGAAACGATTAGTATGGAAACGGTTGCTATGATAAGTGTTACCATGGCAACCATACGAGTGTAAGATGAACGGACGGACTGACAGACGCCAAAGCGAAACTATAATGCTTTTGGCTTTGGGACACGAAACCCTAAAAACAGCAAATTTTGTACGATATAAGACGTCTGAATTTTAAAGTTGTTTCGCTAGGTTGAAGCACTTAAGTGTATCACCTTCACAACCACGTTTGAGGAAAATATCAATTTTTACAGACATTGTATTTTCCCTAAAATTAAATTTTATAAATAAAAACGTTTAGGAAATTAATTCATTACATTGCATATAGAATAATTTATCAAAATTTTTCATATATGTAACCGTCATCAAAATTTTTAAAAAATAATAATTTAAAAAAAATTCAAATATTTTTTCAAAATTTAATGTTTATTGGTCTATTTTTATTATATCTATAATAAAGTTTTTAATTTCATTAGGATATGTTATCTAAACACTATTTCAGAATAAAATAACTATTTATATAGCACAAGATACTGTCTATGATATAAATATATTTCCCATTAAGATCTTTTTAAACTTCGTCCATTTATTACTGTACTTACTTAAAAATAAGTATTATTTAAACTTTAAAAAATTGAAAATTTTTAAAATTTAAAGATTAGGTACTTAATTAATTGTTTTTGTCGTTGAAATTTTACTTCCTTTGGGATCGCGTCACATTTATTTATTTTGATGATTAAAATGTCGATTGGACTTTTTCAATGCAGAAATAATTTATAACTGCATAAGTAACAAAATTAAATAAATTTTTTTATTCATTACACATGGAAATAATAATATTATTTACGTATAATAATTTATGTATTTGCAATATATTTAGCGATCTGAAATTAATTGTCAATAAAAATAAATATCAATCAAAGCACGAATCAAACTGCAATATCTGCAAAACTGTCACTATTAAGAATCAACAAACAAGACTAATAGACTCGTACGACAAGCATTTTGAGTAAAAACATGCGCCATCTATGCGTCCAACGGGGAACTTGCGCATATTAATGATTTCGCCGATAAAATCACCCATCACAAATAAGACCCCAGTAAAAAAGGATTTTTTGAGATAGCAGTTCGGACAATTGAGCAAGCCGTTTGCTCAATTGTCTAAAATGCATTCGGACAATTGGAGTGTTTGTTCAATTGTCCAATGCATTATGCCCAATCATCCGCAATATTTCTCGTGTCTAAAAAGCTGCTAAAATAATATGAAAAACTATTGAAACATTGAAGAAACAGTGGAAAATGCATAATTCTTGATATATACAGAAAAAGAAAGTATAAAAATACCTCGATCGAGGAAAAGGAAAGAGTTTTCCGAAAAATCACTTTTTAACTGACAGTATACTGCTGTACTTGACATTTTATGGGTAAAGAAGAGAAGATTATGATAATGAGTGACACTTCATTATCGACTCTCAATATTTGTCGAATGGTAAAATATAATGATATTTCTATTCATTCTTAAATTATATATATATATTATATATTTTATTTCTAACAATTTTTAAACTTTTATCTATTTGATGTATAATTATAATATATAGGTATTATAATACATAATACAAATAATAATATAAATAATACCCTGATCAGGAAGTCTGTGGTGGGTATGGAGGTCGGAATCCATACTGCTACGGGCGAGTCCATTCCGTCCGTGTATTCCGGGACTGGCGAAGCGCTTGGTGTGCCCCAGAGTACTGGGGGTCGGGCAGCTATCCGTGAAGGATACCTGTCCGTGGGTGTACCCGATGCGCTGGTGAAAGTGCAAAGTATGGATCAAAAAACTTTTTTGGAAAACGAAAGCAGGAAGGATATGATCAGAGCTTCCGATCTGGAAGAAATATCCCCCTGCCCCGAAGTAAATGAGATGGTGGTGACGGCGGATGTACACCTGAACCGTCCTCCAGAAAGAGGAACACCGACTGTGGTCAAGCCTCTTGAACAAAGGGAGAGTGTCGATCCCACGGCGGCAGCTTGTAAAATCCTGCTGGATATCGTGGAGGATCAAAGATTACAGACGGAGGCCTTGGAGAAAGCCCTCCACGGGATTAAGGGGTCTTTCATAAAAAACACCCCAAATGACCTTAAAGAAAAGGTCAATTTCGCGCTGGAGGTGTTTTCAACTGTACGGAGCGCAAGTCTGTCCCTCCGAGCATCGGCCGACAAGCTATGCAAAGTCTTAGACCAGCCATGCCCAACTCGGAGGAAGGACAAACCGAAGTCCGTGTGGAACTCTCCAAGGACTCCGCAGTCCACGAAAAGGTCCTCACAGCCCGAAAACAAGCTTGCCTCTGGGCAGAAAACGAAAAGAGTGGCTTCGACATCACCGGAGGACAGGATGTCGAAGAAAAAACCACCAGAGAAAAAGCCAGAGGAAGCTGAGGGCGAAACCATGGCCAGTCTCCAAAGAGAAATCCTTCTAAAAAAAACCGAGGAACACAGAAGCCATCAGAGTGTCGGCGAAGGATGGGGAGTCCTATGCCGACATTCTGAGGCAAATGAAGACGTCGGTCAATCTCGCCGATACGAACACGGAGGTCTTGTCCATCCGGAGGACAAGGAAGCAAGAGCTGCTGCTCGTACTCCGTAGAGACCAGGGAGTCTCGATGTTCACCGGCGCGTTGGCCGACGTCATGAAGGAGAAGGCAAACTTCGTCCCGATAGTCTCGAGAAGGACACTCGAAATAAGAGACCTAGACGAGACTACGGGAGTCGACGACGTCATAAAAGCTGTTCAGCTGGCCTTGAAAAAGGATGACGTGGAGGTGCCCTGTAGACTCCTCACTTTGAACCGCGGAGCTAAGCTAGCAATAGTCCAGCTCCCTGAAGCAGAAGCAGATGCTCTGCTGAAGGCGGAAAAAGTGAGGATCGGCTGGATAAATTGTCGTATCAGACAGAGACTGGAGGTACAGAGATGCCACCGATGTCTTGGGTACGACCATCTAGCCCGGACATGCAAAAACCCGGATAGGAGCAAAGCCTGAGGGAGGTGTTGTTCAGCGGTCCACTCGCACAGAGGATGCGAGGCAGTTCCAGACTGTGCATCCTGCGTAGATAGCGGGATGAAAGAGACGAACCACCTCCCAGGAAGCGGGGCACGTCCGATCTACAGGGCAGCCCTGGAGAGGTTGAAGGCAAAGAGCTAAGATTTCTCCAGGTCAACCTCGGTAGAGGAAGTGTCGCACAAGACCTCCTGATGCAGACTGCAAGGGAGAGAAGAGCTGATATACTGCTCATTAGTGAGCAGTATAAGAAGCGAGGACTCTCGAACTGGTTTCAGGATGCATCAGGGAGAGCAGGCATAATAACATGCAACCCGAACAGCACTATCAGCCGTTTTCGAGAGACACGCGGTGGTTTCGTTTGGATAGAGGTGGCAGGTGTACGTATTTACAGCTGCTACTTCTCTCCGAACGATCCCATTGCAAAGTTCGACGCCCAGATCCGCTCTCTTGAGGATAGTCTTAAGACTTTCGACGAGGAACTCCTCATTGTGGGGGACTTTAATAGTAAGTCTCCGGAATAGGGAGAGACTCGCCTCGACAGGAGAGGGATCTTAGTCTCCGAGATGGTCTCCGCAAACGGTCTGGTAGTGCTAAATAGGGGGAAGGAGATCACCTTCAGGCGGGGTACGTCAGGATCTATTCTTGATATAACCATTGCCTCTCCCCGCCTGGCTCGCAGGATTAAAGAATGGAAGGTGCTGGATGAAGAGACCATGAGCGACCACCAGTACATAGAATTTTCAGTCTCGGAGGAAATTCCTAGAGGGCATGAAAAACTGCAAAGAAGCAGTAAATGTCCCTCATGGAACCTCAAGAGACTGAACAGGGAGAAACTGGTTGAGTCTCTGGAAGAATCGAGACTTGTTCACGAGCTCAACTGGATGACGAAGCCAGTTTCTCTAAAGGGAACAGTGCGTGAGGCGAGGCAGGTAATAGTAGATGCTTGCAACCACGCTATGCCTCGCCGGCAGACAAGAAAAACAGGGAAAGGGTCTATGTACTGGTGGAGCAAGGAACTAGCCTGCCTGAGGAGAAAAAGCCACGCAGCTAGGAGAAAATACACCCATTCAAAGGGAGACTCCGAGCTGCGAGAAAAATGGCATGAAGCCAGGCTGATCTTCAAAAAGGCAGTACGTAGTAGCCAACGCCGTTGCTGGCAGGACCTAATCGGAGAATCAGAAAGGGACCCATGCGGATTGGCCTTTAAGATTGTCACTAAGAAATTGGTGCCAAGGCAGAAAATCTCCAGTCTGGACGATCCGATTTGGGTCCTGGAAATTATAAGGACGCTTTTCCCCCACGCGGAACCAATCCAAAGGGAGGACTTTACTGAATGTGTAGTAAGCAAGGAGGAACTCTTCACGCTTGAAGAGTTGTAAAAAGTGTCAAAGACGTTGAGAAATGGCAAGGCGCCAGGCAATGACGGAATACCCAGCGAAGTCTGGAAAGAGGTTGTCGCTGTTTATCCAGAGCTTCTTCTCAACGTCTTTAATACATGTCTAACGGCGGGAGAGTTCTTTAGCGACTGGAAGACACAGAAGTTGGTCCTCCTTAGGAAAGGAGAGAAACCCCTAGACAAGGCCTCATCGTTCAGACCAATATGCTTATTGGATACGATGGGGAAATTTCTAGAGGGTCTGGTTCTGCAGAGACTTCAGGAAGTCCTGATAGGCGAAAATAGCCTGTCCGAGAATCAATTTGGCTTTCGGAAAGGCCGGTCAACAGTTGATGCAATACTCACTGTTGTCAATAGGGCGAAGAAAGCCAAAGAGGGCAAAAGGAAAGGATTTTGTGCGCTCGTTGCTATAGACATACGAAATGCGTTTAATACCGCAAAGTTGGTCGTCTGTTTGGACGCACTGAAACGTAAAGGGGTACCACCCCATCTGTTGCGAATGATAGACAACTATCTTAGCGACAGATAGGTTGAATACAAGAGCGATGCATGTCATCTTAAACATAAGATGACATGCGGAGCTCCCCAAGGATCAAAGGTAGGTCCATTCATATGGAACGTCATGTACGACGAACTCCTGGGAATCGACCTACCTGAGGATACGTTTATAGTTGGCTTTGCGGATGACGTCATTGTCGTGTGTCTTGCGTGGAGCGAGTAAAACCTTGAGGTAAGGGTCAATGAAGGTCTGAGACGAGTAAAGCGCTGGCTGGATCTCAACGGTCTTCAGATGGCCGTAGAGAAGACAGAGGCCTTGCTCGTCACTGACCGGAGAGCCTTTAAAGCCCCAAAGATTCAGATTGGGACAACCGAAGTCTCTTGGGGGACAAAGCTTAAGTACCTGGGGGTGACGTTGGATCGAAGGTTAAACTTCGCCCAACACTGTCACACCAAGTCACTTGAGTCCGCCGAATGCATCGGAAACCTTTCAAGGATGATGCCAAACGTCGGCGGCCCCAGGGAAAAGAAACGGCGACTGGTGGCGACCGTGTGTCAAGCAAAGCAGCTATATGCTGCCCCTGCATGGGCTGATAAAGCCCTAAAGAGTCACGGCATCTCTAAGGACCTACTCTCCGTAGAAGGAACTTCGGCACGGAGAGTGGTCTCTGCCTACAGGACAGTTTCAACGAGTGCCGCCCTAGTTCTTGCGAGCATGCCGCCAATAGATCTATTGGCGGTGGAAAGACAGGAAGTCTACATGCTTAACAAAGAGCTAGCAAACTCGCAAGAACAGGAAGTTAAGAATAGTCTAAAGATGGCTATTCGAAGAGAGGTAAGAAAAAGACTCGTTGAAAAATGGCAAGAGTGTTGGGATGAGGAATTGAAAGGAAGGTGGACGTACCGCCTGATTCCTCACCTCGCCACCTGGCTTGACAGAGAGCACGGCGAAGTTGGTTACTACCTGACACAAGTGTTGTCAGGTCATGGTTGCTTCAACCAGTACCTCCACCGGTTTAAAATAAGAAGAGCACCGGAATGCGTGTATTGCGATAAATCCCTCGTGGATGACGCTGAACACACGCTATTTTCCTGCGAGCACTGGAACATTGACAGAGAAGCTATGTTTGCGGCGGTTGAGACTCGATTCAACGCCGATAGCATGGTCTCTGTCATGCTCCAAAGTGTGGACTCCTGGAGGCATGTTGAGACCTTCGTTCTGAAGGTCATGTCTACCAAAGACAATGACGGCAGAAGAAGAGGTTGACCGGAAGATATCTTGGCTCGGCTGGGGGTGTGCGGGGGTGCGAGGAGACATTTGATCTCCTCTCCTTTCCCGCCCCCCAGCCTATGAAATGGTGAAGGCAAGGGAACCGTTTTACTTGCGAAGTGTAAAGCCAGACGGCAGTTCCGCAAGTGAGAGCAAACGATTCCAATAGGGGTGTGGTTTTAGCGGGTCGGCTTACATAGGAGTAAGTCAACCCCGCACACTTCGGAGAAAAGAGTGCGCCTCCGGAATGGTGTGATCCTTGGAGTTGCAATTCCCTCCTTGGTGTAGCAGATTTCCACGTTTGCCCTAGCGCAAAAAAAAAAAATAAATAATATTAATATAATATTATTAATTAATAATAATATATAATTATAATTATACTTATGTACTAAATAATTTCAAATAATTAATCTAATTTTTAAATTAATTAATTTAATTAAAATTTAAATAAAAATATTTAAATTAGTACTAAAAAAATATAAACATATAATAAAAACATAACAATAAATGAAATATAAAAGTAAGAAAATTTTTAAGTCAATAATTATTCCTTTTTTAAAAAATCAGAAAGAAATCTAATATTATTTTTTACCATTCGACAAATATTGAGAGTGGATAATGAAGTGTTACTCATTATCATAATCTTCTCTTCTTTACCCATAAAATGTCAAGTACAGCAGTATACTGTCAGTTAAAAAGTGATTTTTCGGAAAATTCTTTCCTTTTCCTCGATCGAGGTATTTTTATACTTTCTTTTTCTGTATATATCAAGAATTATGCATTTTCCACTGTTTCTTTAATGTTTCAATAGTTTTTCATATTATTTTAGCAGCTTTTTAGACACGAGAAATATTGCGCATGATTGGGCATAATGCATTGGACAATTAAACAAACACACCAATTGTCCGAATGCATTTTAGACAATTGAGCAAACAGCTTGCTCAATTGTCCGAACTGCTATCTCAAAAAACCCTTTTTTACTGGGACAATTAACATTTGTGATTTTATTAACATTAAACTCTATTTCAGAGTACAATAATTACAAAAGTCAACACTTTATTAATAATTTATTAAGAATTAATATTTTTTTCAAGGATTTCTCTAAACTTTTTCTTAAAATTAATGAATAATCGAGCACTGAAATTGGCAGGAAACAGGCACTCACCTTATAACAATAACAAAATTTTACATAAATACTGATCGAAAATTTTAAAAGAGAAATAGTCAATTAACCGATCAAATTACAAAATAAATCAGTTTAAAATACAAGAAGATTAATAAATGTTAACAATACAATTTAAAAATATAAAATGAATAAAATAAGTAAAGATTAAATAATTTCATAAATACAGTAAATTAATTGAAATAATATATTATAATAAAAATCAGTCGTTGGACCAATGGTCATAATAAGAATAACAAAAGTTGTATAAAATATCAGTTTAGCAAATTAATATAGAAAAATCGCCCGTGGACCGACAGCTAATTTCAACACACACATACACACGATTATGACGTGTACTTATCGTTTAACGCCCAGCGGCTGTCTTTCCTCCAATTCCCAAACTTTAGACCATCAGCAAAACTCTGCGCTACTTAAAAATGGATTTCTCCCTTTATAGTTTGGTCCGGGATCTCCAATTTAGTTAGGCGCGGTCGGAATATCTGGATGGGGCCAGCGTCGCACCTAGGCACGGCTCGTGTTGGTGTTGAAACTTTCTAATCCGCCCACAAAGTCGCCACACTTCAGCGTCCTCGGCCGGCACCTGATCGCGTGGCACGGATTTCAGCGTCCAGCTCTCACGGGCGATTAAATGCTTTTTTTCAGCTAATTCCAAGAACTGACGCCGAAATCCCGCTCATTTCCCCGTATCTCCCACGCGAGCACCCCGACCGCGGCCACCGATTGGTTGCAAACACCCCCCAATTCCCAGAAACGCGATCAAGCTGCGACACTGGTCCCATCCCGACGGACCCCTTAACCGGCGACAACCCGACATACAGGGAAGACAGGAGGAAGGACACTTATCGCTTCAACCTTACACTTTAAAATTTAATTATTTAATTAATTTCACTTTAAATTAATACAAATCTTACAAATTTCAACTTAATTCATTAATTATCATTACCAATCGTTTATTCATTGATTAATTCAATTTTTTTACTTCTAATCACTTTTAATCATAATCTGAACGATATCGATCAAATTATGATTTACCTAATCCGCCAGGGCGAAGCCAGGTGAATGTGCACATTGACCGGGCTTTTTGGTGAAAGTGAGAATTTTGCCATTTGGGGAAAAAATTATGTACATTTACCGAATAAATTGGTGATTGTATACATTGACCAGCGTCGGTTGGTGAATGTGAAAATTGCAAGTAAGTGATTGTATTAATTAATTTTTAATTATTATGAAATGTAATAATGTAATTCATTACATTAATTATTATTAATTAAGTAATTATTAATAATAAATTAATTATTTAAGTAACTATTTGAATATTATAAATTTTAATATGGGACTAGAGATATAAATAGAAATAAATATAGAAATAGAAAATGTAAATAACAACAGAAATCAAAATATCAATTGTATATGAATGAAATTATATAGGCAAAATGCAAAATTTATGTCCTTAAACATTATGAACATAAAACAAATAAACATCTATTCATTTCGCCGAAAGAATTAAAATAAAAAATTTTTGGGGGTGTGTTATAACCCCATTTTATGGAAAAAATTAGGGGGGAGGGTTGCGCGTACGGGTCATGTAGAAAACGATTTATGCTATAATTTAAACTTTTTTGAAGTTTTTACCACGTCAGGTTAAAGAGAAAAATCATATTAAACACCCATAAAAACATGTTTCTTGGGGGTTTTTACCCCCACTATTTTCAAAATCCAGACATACTAGGCAATTTTAAGATCCGGGATCGTATTCAGCGCCCAAAAATACATTAAAAACCATTCTGATATCAAGATTAAAGAAAAAAGTTTTATTTTTTAGGCCTCTGTGATTTATTACGTTTGCTGAAGCCATATATATGGGCATATCTCTAGAACTTTTAAACTTTATGTTATCGCTCATTATGATACCTTAAGAATTTTTTAAATAATTTTTCATTACCATAATTTGACCAATTATAGGGCTTTTTAAATGTATCATGCGTTATATAATTTTTTTCATTATGTAGGAAATGACGAACGTAAGTTA